AAACCTTTGTAATGGAGAATGAAGCAAAAGTTGATGACGATATAATCATTGAGATATCTGAATAAGCTGAAAGAGAGTTTTGAGTTTTATTTCCTTGAAGAAATGAAAAATATCCAAGAGAAAAAATGGATTATGAACCCCTTTCAGCCTGACATAACGAGTGGGATATCGACAAAAGCTGAGGAAGAACTTTTTGATTTATCTGAGGACGCTTCATTAGAAATAAACTTTAACAGCAGAAAACTGATACAGTTCTGGGTGTCTGTTCGAAAACCATACCCAATCCTTTCCACTGAAGCTTTGAAGGTACTTCTCCCTTTCTCATCTTCATATCATTGTGAAGTTGGATTTTCGGCAATGGTAGGAATCAAAAACAAATTCCGAAATAAACTTCAATTGTCAAATTCCTTACGCCTGAAACTAACCCACATTGATGTTGATGTCAATGTCATTCTTGACAGTAACAAGAAACAAGCACATCCTTCACACATGCCTCATTATTAATCCATTAGATAGTATTTATAAGTTCTGGAAATGTTATTGAAAATACGTAAGTATTTTTAAATGTAATTGAAATACGTGAATAAGAATAAATAATATTTTTTATATTCTTTCATATGTTTTTGCCCAGTAAATTTGAGTGGATCGCCATAAACTGTGGTCATGAATAGTGGGTCGTGATTCTAAAAAGTTTGGGAACCCCTGACCTAGGGTAATGTTGTTTTTGTTTTACAAAAAAATCTACAAGGTAAGTGCAAATTAAAATTCTCTTCAAGGTTGGTCTTTACAGGACTCTTAAAACTAAAATATACAGGCAATCATACCTCAGAATTAGTAGAGGAGTATGGAAGGGCCGTTGGGAAAGAAGCCAAGATATGAAATTTCTAAGCCTAAGTGATTCTGGTGTGTCCAGCTCAGGTAGTTCAGTCTGCAAAAATATATTCAACGTTCATTATACTTGCTAATGCACATAGAATCAAAAATGTAAACAAAATACACTTACAACAACATGATAAATTAAACACTTTAGGAAGAGAGATCTTTCTTCATGAAAAGTAGATTAAGAATGAAGTTATCCTCAATTCAGCCCTAAAAAAAAAAAAGACTACTTCATAAAAATACTTCAATTATTGGATTTCTTTAAATGTGAAAAAATTCAATACTTAGACACAGTTTTTTTACACCAAATGACTGTATGTAGTATATTAGCTTTGTATTTGACATCTAGCAAAAAGAAAATCTTAAAAAGACTTGCACCTTAGGTATGAAATTAGAAACAATTAACATGGTCAAAACAGAGGAGTACAATATTTGCACGAGTTTTAATTTTAAGACATTTCTTAAAAATCTTAAGATTGTTCTGTAAAATGACACACTCCACAAGTTTTGTAATTTTATTTTTTTACTGGATAATTTTGTAATGTGTTTTTTTCTCCTGGTACTTCTTTATTAAGAATTACTAAAAATATGTTTACCAAAAAATTTTGATCAACTGAGAATACCATTTGATGAAATTTACTAATGTTTAGATATGAATAAGCCAAAATCATTATGTTAACTTGAAAACCAACAGAAAATAAAAGTATAATACAACAGCATCTCCACATTTTCAATGAATATTTATATAAAACAAACAGAACAAAACCGACAAGTGTTGTACATACAGAGCAGGCACTAATGTCTAAGTAACAGTAGATGAAAGGTACAGAATGTTTCCTAGTTGAAAATATGCCTACTTAAGTAAGATACCACCTAGTGTTAGCTTTTATTCAGACTTACATAGCCTATTCTCTAACTTGCAGCTCTGAGTGTGAATTCTGAAAACTTTAAGGGAATGTTTCACATAAATGTAACATTATACTTATGATGTTAGAAAAACACGAAGGTTCAAGAAGTCTTGATAGAAATGTATAAAACCATATAACCCGAGCACTTTTGAAAGGTGGACTTTTTTTCTCTACTTCTTCAATAAATCATTAAAAACATAACTTACCATTCCCTCTGGGATTGCTCTGAATGTTGATATTCCCAAGACAGTAGAACAGAAGTGATCACTAATGCCCCTTCCCAGATACAGATACATCAAAACTACCGTATCAAGAAGGTATGCTCCTGTAGGATCTATTTTTTCAAAAGTTAGCTGTAGGATAGGAGGCTGTGGCACTGTTTTTCCTTCATCAATTTGCAGGGACTTCTAAGGTTAAAAAATATCAAACATTTTTCAAACAACTACTTAAGTAATTTTCAGACAAAACTTCCTTATTAAGAAATAAAATTGAACTAAACAACAACAGAATAATATGACACTCAAATGTACACAATAAAATATTAAGGAATAATATTTGATAATACTGCAAACCAAAACACTGTAATCATATCAATATAAATAAAACCATGCTTCCCTACCTTTAACACTTACAAAATTTTGCCGAAAAAATGTATTCAAATACAAAGAAAATTTTTAACATATTTGTTGGTTTCTTTCAAACAACATACCATCTAACTTCAGAATATGAATAAATTACGACCACACATTACAAGGATCAAGGAATTAGTGATGTAAAGGACAGTCTCCTTACATTATCATCTAATGCATGCACTGGATACATTCGTGGGTAGATATATGTCATCAGATAAGACAGGGGCATAGACTTCATCTGTTCCATTGCAAACACTCTTTCATCCAACTTCGTGCTGATGCCTACTCGAAATGCAACCTGTAACAAAATTTAACAGACCTCTAGTTTGTAAATTACTTCAGTAATATAATTTCACATTCAACACATTATTTTCATGTTATCTATACCCGTTTAAAAGTACATTATTATTCCTAGTAATGTTTACATGGTACTTTTTGTTTTCTGATGCGAAAAGGAGCTATTTGAACATTTAAAAACAAATTAAAAACTAAAAATTTTTGTTCTATTTCTAACCGAGTTACAAATTTTTTAAACTTTACTTACACTTTTCAATAATCCCAATACAAAAAGAGGCAATAACTGTGCACAGCAGGGTACCATAAGTGCTCCTGCTGTCTGACCAGCTGCTATTGTATTATGGTAAGTACTTATCAGATCACAGCAGGCGTTGATCATAGCATCTCGAGCATCTCTAAGTGACGTTATACTTTTGTCAACCGCTAGACAGAAAAGTAAATACTGGTAGGTTAAAAACAAAATCAATTTATTTTTTATCTTACATAAGTAAATATGTATTTCATTTGTACCTTATATAAGCTATAAAGAAAAAAATACTGCATAAACATGACATTCATACTATCAATGTATTTATTATAAGAAATGGGAAAAAACTTTCTCCGATTTTTTGTTTGATTTAGTAGAGGAACAGCATCTTTTGAAGTACATTATTCTGAGTTATTCCTAAGACATTGAATAAATGACCCCATTTGAAAGGAAGTTTAAAAAATTACATATCTTCTTGATGGGAATCCCTAACCATCATATTAACAGCATTCAGATCATTGTCATACTTTTACTACATAAACAGAATGTAAAGAAAAAAATACATGTACTATTAATGATGAAACTTGCTGTTACAATTCCAAAACCAATTTGGATCTTCTTAGGGTCACTAATCTTATAAAAGTTATGCTTACTCTTACTATTTTGATATTTTGGCACTATAGTGTTTCTTTACTACAATAAATAAAAAAACTGGAAATTACTCTACAGGTAAAACAGGTCTCAAACAGTACTTTACTGCTGTTGTCTTCTAAATCTGTTCAAAGAACAAATTGTTATTACAAATCTCTTAAGCCAAAAAAACATATCTAGAAGAAAGAACACATACACATAAATTGGTGTAAATTGGCTACAGTAATACATAAACATTAAAATTTTAAATTACAATTTTTAAATATATGCATTTTTTACATATGATCTAATCAACTCACCCATCTTTGCCAAGAGACAAATTATGCTTTCCTGGTCAGCACTTCCAAGCACTTCTGTCACAACTGCTACAACTGGAAGACTCAATGTATGAACTCTGATTCTTCTTTCACCTGATAATTAGTCACAGCACTAGATTACAAAGTATTCCAAATAATTAATTACAACACAAATTCGGGTGTTTAAATAATACAGTATCACAAAGTATAACCTGCTGAGACAACAGGATATTCTTGTTACACAATACATTACCATATCATCTGCTCAGACAGTGTGGTATTATACACTACACAATACATTATGACACCACTAGCTCAGACAATGCAGTGTCATTTGTTACAAACACAGTACAACTCTGTCTGTTCAGACAGTGTAGCGTTACGTGTTATTTGATACAGTATCAAATCACCTATTCAAACAAAGTGGATTATATGTCAAATAACAAAGTGATAAGTCACCTACTCAGACAACATGAGGTTGTATTTTAAACAAAATAATACTGCACCACCACCTAATACAAAACAAGGTTGTAAGTTACATCAGTGGATCCCAACTGGTGATCCACAGAGATTTCAGCCAGTAAGCAAGACAGTTGAAAAAAAAAATGCTTTAAGATACAGCTGCTGAAGTATATTAATTTGTAATGTAATTTTAAAGTATTTTAAAAATATAAAATTGTACAAAGCAGTCTGTGAAATTTTAAGACCAAGTCTAACTGGTCCTCTGTTGGAAAAAAGCTGGGAACCACTGCATTAAACAATATAATGCTATAACAAATGCTCACTGATAACACATTAAATGGTAAGATGTAACAGCATATTATCTAATTTGACCATATATACAAAACTATATCTGCCTGGAATGAAAAATATTGCAAAGACAACGATCTAAGCAATATACCAAATGATCATAATTTGTTTAAAAAAAACTGTACAGAGATAGCATTTAGTACTGTAAATAAAAATGCTAAAAGTATCTGAAGAGTGTTATTTTAACCTTTACTTAATACATTAAAAATAACTTAGAAATGACATACTTTTCCATGATGTGTATCAAAACTTGTTACCAACAGACCTTAACACTTGTAAGTTGTTGTTACCAACTAACCTTTACTAAAAATCAAATATGAAGCCAAATCTATTATTTGATTAAACACTTGCCACTTAGTTATACCAGTTTCAGGTACCATCTCTCATTACAAACCCTGGACACTATCAAACCACTTTACTATCAATGTATTTTAATGAAATTATATTAATCAAGTATGTTATAATTCAAAGTTTTATATTATCTGTTTCATTCCTTTATTTCAAAAGAAACCTCTAAAACAATAATTAAATATTTCAGTCTGTTGTCAACTGACAATCTTGTGATTCAAAATACCTGAACTTTAGATATGATATACAAGAAACAAGTGTGTGTGTAATGTAGACGTGTTCTTGCAGATGTTCAAAGTACTTGTATATGGCTTGTTTACAAGTAACTCGAGTGAAATTCCAAGAACTTGTGTCTGAGGAAAACATTGTAAAAATTCTTTCAGTTCTATATAAGCCATGCCTATTTCCAAAGTAGAAGCTCTGTTGCTAAGCGACAGTTTTAAGTTGAATGTCAAGCTTATAACCAATAAAAAGAGCTGATATTCTGTTGGAAAGTTGCCAAATTAACAGTAAATGTAGACATATATATATATCCATTTACAAATGAAGTGAAATAAAGCTTAGTCCATTGTTAAGAGCGGGGTCCCTAGCACTTGGTTATTTTTCTCGCCTTATACATATTAATTTGATAGACAGTTAAGTTGCATTTAAGTCTTACTTTTATATTTTAGTTATGCATTATTTATGTTTAAAACTTATACTTGAAAGGTTTTTAATTATTTTTTAAATCTATTCTGATTTTTCCTCAATCAACAGGCATTCATAAAGTTAGCAAGTGCAACCACCATTTTGTTGTGGGTTAAAAAGTTTCTTCTGGTGATAACGTTATATCGCCTGCAGGCACCTGTTGATGTGTGTCAACTTAAATAATCAAAAATAAAGCAAATGAAATGAAAATAAAACATTAAAAATAAACTAAGTGAAAATGTAAAGACATCAAATTATACAAATGACCCCAAAAAGATATTTTAAGATTATTCAATGAAGAGATAAAAGGTATATATATATATATTTCTTAATTTTTAACATTTCATTGTACTGTACGTTGATGACAATAGTTGGAGTTAGTGATGTTGTAGAGAAAATAGCAAATAAAATATAAACATTTACCTTAAAAAAACTTTTGATATTCATTTAGAAGGTTGTACAAATTATGAAAGTGAAATGTGAAAATTGTAAGGTAAAAAAATAGTATTTTTTATACTTAACATGAAAATCACCTTGCTGGTAAACTATTTGGAAACTGAGCGCAAATAACTACATTAAATAACGATATTTTTGATAGAAATGGTAGAAAAAATCCAAATTAAATATTTTATTTTTACTCAAACTAAATACTTTTATCAAAGTTCTTATCAAGTTTTAAACAATTTTATCCACTGGTTTTATTATATGAAAAGAAATTTAATGAGAGTTACGTAACATGCTTAAGTCTGAAGCACATCATCATAATCGAGTTAAAAAGGTTATTATCAAAGTACTCTTATGCAATGTGTGTCAAAAGTTATTAACAACATCCTTTTATCTGATATGTATCAAACGTTATTACTAACATACCTTTGGTTGATGTATAAAGAACGGCAGCTTGAAAACAAACATTTTTGTAATCGGTCAAGCTCTCTTCTATGGCTACCTGCATACCATAACCTGCATCAGGATTCACATTAGGAAGACACAACAAATCTGTGGATCTAACAAAGAAATTACCATGGAACGTATGGAGAGACAAACCTGTGTCAAAAGAGAGATAAAAACGAATATAACATAAAAATTTAACTATAGGTTAGTACAGTAAGTCAGGATCTAATATGTGACAAACACTCATTTAGAATAAATGACTTTACATTTGAGGTTCATCTTAAAACCCATTCACAGTACATTTTCTGGATATACTATTTATTTGTATTTTCCATTTAATACAAGCTACATAACTATATTGAGCATTTACAACATAAATTATGGTAAACAGTTACTTGATACACTCACACATGTAAAATTGGGGTTCACATTCATAGATGTACAGCATATCTTACTGTGCTATGTTGCTAAAATTTTACGTTTTTTTTTATATATGAGAATCCTAAAAACTGTATTACTTCTTCCAGGGCTTGATAATTTCATTAAAAACCTGGCATCCTGAAAGTTACCGGAATTGAACTGTAATTGTATCCAACCAATTTTAAAGTGTTCCCAAAAAATGTATATATAAAAATTCACCAATAGCTAAATAATAATGTTTATTACATAAAACATTATTAAAAACAAAGTAACTACACTAAATCCATTGAGTTTGGTTTTCATTTTAAAACCCATCATGCAGAATTCTGGAATGCAAGCACAAAAGAAATCACACTTAGGCCTACAGTCTACAATGTGTAAAATGACATCACATGAGATCTCATTCTTAGGTAGCCTAGGAACATTAATAAACAGTAGTCTAAATGTGACACAGAGCAAAAAATAATGAATGTCAAACAATCATTTATAATTTACTGATTTTAAATTTTATTTCTTTCTTTAACTAAAATAACTTTATATTAATATATTCAATTATGTGGTGAATTTTAAAATTTAGTGGTCCAAGATGATGCAATAGTGTGCCCAAGCTTTCAACTAGTGATATTTGAATAGCAATCATAAGAAACGTGTGTGGAATTAAAATATTAAGACAATAACTTCATTTTGTTACTTAGCTCTATTCTATGTGAACTTGTTATTGATTGAGAGCAATGTGGTGTTTTTTTTCAAACTCAAGTTTCAGGTTACAACAACATTAAATTTATAGTTATTTTTTTTACACGCAACACAATATTTTCGTTTCCATCTTTAAAGATAATAGCTTATTGAAAACTCTAACAGATATGCTTTCACTTTGAAAACTTACCTCTTGCACACCTTATTCTCATTACTGCCTCGAACCCAATCTTTCTGGTAAGATAACGTCGCAAGTCTTTCTGGTATTTTTCAGTCACAAGTTTATTCATTGTGGCATGGAAGCTAGGATAATAATTAACACTACCGGCAGAAAACTTAGACATGCAAGCTGAAAAAAAAATGAAAACAATATAATTTTCTACTGACCTTCTAAACATTCTTGCTATATGTGCTAAATTTATTCAGCTCAAAATAACATATATATCTTTCAAATATTTAAATAAAGCTGAGGTGCCCATCTTCTGTCTGGGTTATGAACATAAAAAATGTAGAGATACATGCAATGATAAATAACACAAAAATCCTAACTTTCATGCAATATAGTTATAACATAACATATATTATTATAGTATTCATTATTAACTCACCAAAAGTTTTGTATGAGCTATAAAAACTCTATGTATATACTTAAAACATGGTAAACACTATACAATGATCAGAGTGACTTTGTAGGAAGAAGTAGCGGTCAAAGAAGTGATGATAGGGGTGCTTTCTGTTACCCACTTTCAACACCCAGCTCCTAATGTCCATCCACAATGTTTCACATGATTAGTTAATTGACCACAGAAGTGTCTTATAGGCCAAAGTTGAAAGGTCATCGGTAAAAGTGGGAAGTGAGTATAACTCAAGAAACAGCTTTTGATATCAGCCTTATGGTGGCTGTTGGAGTAGAAACATCAGCTGATTTATGTATTACTGCAATGGTGGCAGTCATTTTTTTCATTGCATTCCTCCATAGTGAGTGCTAGCACACACTGTGAGAAATATAAGATGTTTGTGTGCCTTCCCCCACACTGTGTATGTTGTGTTATGTAAAATGTAATGAAGTTTGCTTTTTTTTGTGTAAGGATGTGGCACCATCTATGAATGTAGTTAACGTTAACTTATATCAAAGATAACAAATGTTCAATAACAGCAATAATGGGGGTGTGTGGAAGAAACTGCAAAACCCCATTAACCTGCCCCCCAAACTACCATCCCACAAAATTTGGTTGAGATTGGCCCAGTGACCTAGGAGTAGTTAGATAATGGACAAAAAGACACACAGATTTTTGTGCTTTATATATACATATATATAGATGATGATGTCATAATAGAAAAAATTATAACTTGCTTAACAATATCAAATGATCCTTCTGAAACTACTGTTTTCTATCTT